TTACATGCTCTAACAATGTAGGAATAATACTATATACAAATAAATGAATGATAGGAGTAGAAAACAAAAAGTAGAATAAACTCACTGACTGCACCTTACAGTAAAAGATAGGAGTCAAGGTTGAAAGTTAAGTAGTAAAATTTTAAGCAAAATTATAAAGAACAATAAAATAATACTCTATTGCCTAAAATTAGTTAGTAAAGGGGAAGATAGAGAACAAAGCTAATATTATTGTTACTAAGAAAAAAAACTGCCTTAAAAAAAAGAGAGAAAGATGAACATTATATGAAGGTCTAAGTATAAAGGTAACCAGTAGTGGAGGAAAAAAAAAAACTTCCTAATATCAGAACTATCATTTAAAAAGCACAGAAAACAGACCACTTAAAGTTTCAAAAATATCTATAATCAGAAAATATAAAATAATTTGACACACCACAACCAAACATGTACGTCCTGCCTATCTATCTGGCTTAACTCACCCATTAGCAGAAAAAAAGTTTTCAACTGACCCACAAAGCAAAACCATTCTATGCTGCTGTGGAGCTGTATCTGTGATTCAGAAAGTATAAAATATTTAAAGGAAAGGAAAAACTAATGGATAGGATAAGGTTCACAAAAACATAGATTGTAATCCTTTTATTAGACAATGTAGACTTCTGGCCCACAAGTATAAAAAGAAACTCACTTTATCATTGTACAGGGTACAATTCACAATGAAGAAAACAGAGAGGTGTGTATATATAGATATACTCCCAACAGTATAGCAGCAACATTAAGAAAGCAGAAATTACAGGAGATATAAGGAAAAATAGACAGAAACACAATAACAACAGGAAATTTAAATTTATTTCTCCCAGTCTGAGAGAACAAGTAAACAAAAGTAAATGAGAAAATAAACGATCTAAACAGCATAAAATGGTAGTGCTGATGGGTATTCATTTAACTCTTCCTTAATAACTGAATATACTTTATTTTCAAACAGCTATTAAACTTTCACAAAAACTGACTATATATTAGGCCATAAAAAATACCTTGACAAATTCTAAAAGTAGAAATACAAACCAAATTCTCTGATTAACAACATGTTAAAACTAGAAATTCCTAACAAAATCAGAAAATAAAAAGATCTTCAATCTGAAAATTTAAAGTCTCTCAAACAACATTTGGATAATAGGGGAAATACAAATGAAATTTCTAACGTTTCTAGAAAATAACATAATAAAAATATTACATATGAGACGCTTTGGAATAACAGCTAAAACAGTAATGAGAAGAAAATTTACTATTTTAAATACTTATCAGTAAGAAAAAATGAAAGTAGATGAGTTACTAATAGAGCTCAAAAAGTTAGAAAAACTAAATTAACTGAAGTAAAGGAAAAAACCTACAGAGCTAAAAGCAGAAACTAAGGAGTTAGAAAACAGAAAGCCAGAGAACTAAAAAAAATTTCAAAAGCTCTTTTGCTGAGAAAAAAAGAAAAACATCAATTGATTAAACTACTACCTTTCCTAATCAAGAGTAAAAATGACAAAGTACAAATATACAAAATAAGAAATGGGGGCAAACCAGAGAAATAGATAAAATTTCAAAAATATGAAACTACTGTGTAAAACTCTATAGAAATAAATTAAATAGATAAAATAAATAATTTTCTAGTAAGATATAACCTACCAAAACTGACCTCAGAGAGCCTAAACAGACTGATTTTCACAAAATAAACGCGGGAAGTCTTCAAAGAGCTACCCACCAAAATACACCAGGCACAAGATTTTACCGGCTAATTCTAACAAATTTTAAAAGAACTGATATTTTCAATACTATTTAAAAACTGTTGTCCATTTTAGAAAATGGAAGACTTCCAAATTCTTTATGAAATGTAACATTAATACCAAAATGTGAAAGAGTGCCCAAAAAAAGAGATGACTACAGATCAATCTGACTTTTGCATTTTGATTAAAAAGGTAAAGTATTAACAAAATCCAGAATCACGTTAGAAGGATCCAGAAATACAAGTTTGATTCAATGTTTGTTAAAAAGAAGAGAAATACCATAGCATTAGCTCCCGAGATGCTGAAAAGACATCTGACAAAATTCAATATTCATTCTGGATTAAAAGTACTTAGTAAAACAGGAATCAACAGATACTCCTATACATATACATATATATGTATATACCATATTTAATGCAGAAACACTGGAAGCAGTCCTTCTAAAGTAAAGAACAAAAAGAGGATGCCCAATAATAACTAACATTTAACACTGTCCTCTCAAATTAGTCAATATAATCTGATAAGAAACAAATTAGAGGTATAAAAATCCAAAGGAAGAGGTAAACCTATCACTACCTATAGATGAAATGATTATAACCTAGAAACTCCAAGAAAATCTTTTGAAAAACTACTGTAAACCAAAACACAACTCAAAAAGGCAGAAGAAAAAAGTTAGTATACAGAAATCAAAAGCCTCCATGTACATAAATAATAACCAGTTAGAATCTATAAACCCATTTAATATCCAAAAAGGGGAGAAAATATCCAGGAACAACAATACAAATATATAAATTCTATATGAGGAAAACTCTAAAACACTCCTAAATGAAATAAAAGTTTTGCACAAATGGAAAATCTTTTCCTGGGCAGAAAGACTATCTTTAAGATGCCAATTTGTCCTCACTTAATTTATAAATACAATGAGATCTCAATAAAAATAACAACCCCTATTCCCATACCCAGTGGATCTGGACAAGGTGTTTCTAAAGCTTATATGGTAAAATAAACAAGTGGCCTAGATAACCCTGAAGAGAAAAATAAGACTAGCCCTAATTAGATATTAAGACATAAAAGAAATGACTGACCAATACATATAAATGTTTGTATATGCATATCTACACACACACCAAAGAGAGAAACTTCTCCGTGGCAAAAAACAGAAACAAAAACCAGACTATACCACAGATCAAAAGACAAATAACAACCTAGAGACAATATCTGTAATTCATATCACAGACAAAAAGCTAAGCTCCTCAATTTAGAAAGCTCTTTCAGTAAATGAGGAGACCAAAACGCCACCAGAAAAAAAAAATGGCAAAGGACATTAACAAACAGTTAATAAAAAAAGAAATAAGGTGGCACTTACATATGTGAAAAGACAGACAAATGCAAAATAAAAGTACATAAGGGAACTATTTCTTGCAAATCCAACTGACAAAAACCTAGAGTTTGATACCTCTAGTGGCAAAGGTATAAGGAAACAGGTAGCCTCATGCAGTGATGCAAAACGTTTATAGCCTCTATGGAGGGCAATCTGGCAACACCCATCAAAATTACAAATACATTTGCCCTTGATCCATGATTTTCACTTCCTGGAATCTATCTTGAAGATACATCTACATACATATGAAATGATGTTCTGAAATGGCAAATAATTAAATACGCCCTAGTATACATCTAAAAGGGACTACTGAAATATAACTCCTCAATGACATATCCTCACAACGGTAGAAGTAGCTGAAAATAATGAGGAAACTATGTACCGATCTGGAAAGATCTAAGGATCCTTGGAGGAAGGCTGATTCCAGGTACAGGACAGGAAATATAAGAGAAGCCTGGAACATCCTGCTGTGCCAGAATGCAAGAAAGCTATCAAAGACTAATGAATTATCAATAGGACATTGTGATTTTCAACATTAAAATTGCATCCTATGCAAAAGGAATAACAGATAAAAATACCAGTTGGTAATCCCTAGTGAAATAAATGATTCTGGTAACAATGATCAATGAATGGAATATTAGTAACTGAAGAGTTGATTGGGAAATTTACAACGGAGAGATGGGGTCTATTGATCTCTGAACCTATTGACCAATCTTAGTATCACTAAAATTGAGACCACTAGATACTGTGTGCCTCCTAGTATGATAAAATAGGAAGCACTTATGAAGTATTTTGAACCAGAACTGAATCAAGCTTCTAGGGCCAATTTTCATTTTCAGGACATACAGGGGATAGAGGAACAAGGTAATGACATCACAAGAAAACAAAAGAAAAATACAGATTTTTGGATATTCTACAGGAGAAGTGACAGAGCTTCTGCAACGAGTTGATGGCATAAAAAAATGAAAAACAAAACAAAACAAGAGGAAAGGAAATAGGACTACCACATTTAAAAAAGGCATAATAGCCAAATGTGACTGTGTGGATCTTGTTTAGATGCTGATTAGAATCACCTAACTATAAAAGGACATGTTTGAGACAATCAGGGAAATCTGACTATGGACAGGGTATTAGAGGCTACGAATAATGATTATTTTAAATTTTCTTACACACGATAATGGCATTGTGACTGTGTAAGAAAACATCTGTATTTTTAGAGGTAATTACTGAAATAGTAGGGCTAAAATAATGTGCTATGTCTGGGATTTGATTTAAAGATACTACAATAGAGGAAGAAATGTAGATACTTTAAGCAAAGGTAGAAAAATCCTGACAATCTGGATAATTGCTACATAGGTGGCAGTTTATCATACTATTCTCTGTACTTTTATATATGCTCAAAAGTATTTATAAATAAACACCTAAAAATGAGAATGCAATTAACACCACATTAAGCATCAGCAGGAGGCATAATGCCTGGGGTCACCATGATCAGTAGACTTCTCCTCCTTTAAAACACGTATTTCATAATGAAATACTGACTTAGAGTTAAAAGAACAAAAGTGAATTATAACAGAATTGCTCAGACGATCATGTCAAGGCTTTTATATTTGCTTTCACGTGCTTACTTCATGTTTAATAGCATTCCAGGGCAAGTTCTGTGTGAAGGCTTTCAAAATGAAATGTAATAAAAATAGATTTTTCCAGTTCGTCTTAATGTATGTACAAATATTACTTCAAGACAGTACAATTATATATAAAACGTACATATGTATCTATCTATATACACACACACACAGGCCATATACAAATCACCTACTCAATACAGAATATGGTTTTAGTTCCCTTACCGTCAATATTAAGCATCATTTTCCACATGGCAGGCCGAACAGACTGATGGAATCCGAACCATACTTCCCTGCCCCCTCCTAGAGGGTGGTCATATCCTTCTGGAGCTGAGAAAAAGGAACGCCCCACAGGTGTATATCTACAAAAATTAAAATGGCATGTTCAATCCTTTCCTTCTCATGCATGTACTTAACTTTGCAGAACAGGTGAGTCTAGAGCACATAAACTTAATTTATCATAATGACGCTTATCATTATGAATATATGAAACTAAACATTTTTCCAATTTGTGAAAGCTAAAAGCAGTATTCTGAATGAGAACAAAAACATCAACATCCTTCACTGAAATTTTCTATTACTAAAACTAATCTTAGTTTGAATAAAAATAAATTTTATTTAAAATGCTTTCTTAAAAAGATTTTTAAAAATTAACAGTTCCAACCTTAGAAAACACTAAAGAGTAAATAATTATTGATCAAAAAGCTATTTCTATAAATGTGTTTGCAAGACAATGTTTTTCTTCAAAAAGACACATTGATCCTATATATATATACATACACAGATACACCACAGATACACACAATACATGTGTGAGGTGCTAGTGTGATTAAGAGTAGCAATTTCAACACAATTTGATACCATTGCATAAACAATGAAATTACCTCTAAACAAGATGATTTAACTACAGGAATATATCTGAAAATATATCATTACTCAAGATTTATACCTCCTAAGGGAAAGCGTTAGACATTTTTATAAAAAGTATACGTTAAAATAGCTAATGATGTGCATTTACTTTCAAAAGTCAGACTATTTCTGTAACTTACTTCTATCAATGAGTGTGTACACATGCTATTCATCAACTGAAATAATCAAAATGTACAACATCTGGGGCTGGCCCCGTGGCTGCGTGGTTAAGTTCGGGTGCTCTGCTTCATTGGCCCAGGGTTTCCCCGGTTTGGATCCTGGACACAGATATAGCACTGCTCATCAGGCCATGCTGAGGCGGGCATCCCACATGCCACAACTAGAAGGACCTACGACTAGAATATACAACTATGTACCGGGGGCTTTGGAGAGAAAAAGGAAAAATAAAAATCTTAAAAAAAAAAAAAGTACAACATCTGAAAGTTAACCAAAGGAAGCCTGCACAATTCACTCTTGGGAAGAAAGCCTTCACACTTAAAATCTAAAGAGGGAAAAAAGCCAGAAGCACCCACTTCATGGAGGGCAGATGTCGTAGCACCACATCAACGGCATGGACAGGATTAGTGCTGATTGGCTTGTCTAACTCCAGTGGCTCAGGCAAGGTCCGTCCTGTCAGTACTTCATGTAGTAGGTGCCAACTCACCCGAGACACAAATTTGATTGACACCTTGAAAGGTCGATCTTTTCCACCTTCCCCAGGTAAAGTAACATCTAAATCTACCTGTTGATGGGAAAAGAGTCAACCGATAAAAGTTGAAAAAGATAAAAACAACTATTTTTAAGTTTAACATAAAAATATTTAAGAGAAAACAAGGCAAACATAAAAAATCAATCTCAATGTTGAATCAATAGACTAAAATTTAAATGTTATTTATTCCAGCATTATATGTCACTGTAAAGTACTGGAAACTACCTAAAGGCCCAAACATTTAGGCAGCTATAAAAAAAGAATGAGAAAGATCTCTTAGAACTACAATGGAATAATTTCCAAGCTATACTGTTAAGTGAAAAAACCAAAGTACAGAAGATTACAAATAGTATACCATCTTTTGTGTGAGAGAGAAGGGGAAAATGGGAAACTATTCATACATCTGCTTATTTTTACAAAAAGAAACATAGGAAGAATTAACCAGGAACAAAGAAATTAGGTATTGTCAAAGGATGCAAAAGGAACAGACTGGAAGAAATAAAGGAAGGATAAACAACTCTAAGTATATTTTTCAGTATGGTTTTGACTTTTGGAAGCATGTTAAAGTTCTATATATTAAAAAATTAAAGACAACAAGGATGGAGGGAAAAACTAAAACCGAATGTAGACAAAGTTAAATGAACCAAATGCATTTCAAATAAATAACACATAACCACACTGAAAAAAGAAAAAAAGAAAGAAAACACTGGCACGTAGCTCTTGAGCAGAGTGTGCGCACCACACTCTCAGTTGGGGTGTGGAGGAGGGTAGGTGGGGAAGAACTGCAGACACAAAATAACCCTTGAACTCTTAGGAGCAGGTTTGTTTCTGCAGTGGTATAGTGCAGTAATTCAGAACTACTTTACATGCACTGTAGAACTGAACAAATGAGTAAAAGTGGTGATGTCTTGGGGAGCCAGGGGTTTAAAGAAGAAAAATACAAATATGCAGTGTGGGGAGTAAAGGAAGAATCCTATAGGGATAGACTGGACCTAGAAGAATCAGTTTGAACTCATGATTTCCAATATACATATTGTATACTGCATACAATAAGTTGTACTTGCAGGATACATGTTACTACATGACATGTAATATTTATTGTCTGTTTCTTTATTTACTTATTTATATATTTATATTTCCTACCTCCATCCATTGAAAAGGCTTACAAGTACACAGTACTTATAAGTAATAAGTAATGGTACCCCAGTAGCAATGAGCACATCCAGTACCCAAATTTTGGTTTCTAAATTGCATCCCCCAACTAAAAGAAACCAGTGCTCCTTTGAGAAATGACCAGTTGCAGGGATGCAGCGGAGAAAATATAAGATGAACATCTTGTGCCAGAAAGTAAGGAAGCACTCAAAAAAAAAAGTGTGTCATGTCAAAAGGACATAGGAATCAGCTTAAAGGGGCTCCCATTGGCGAAAACTAGGACAATTTGGGCAGTCAAATAAAGACAGGTAAACAGGTGAGAAGAAAACGTTCTCCCTTACAATAGACTATCAACTAACAAATGTAGAAGGAATGGCAGAATTAGAAAATCAGCATTACTACAGAGTAATAATCCTTCCACGTAAGAATCATCAATTACTAAAAAAAGTCTAATGAGAAATAGGATCCTTAAAAGTATCTCCCATATCAAAATTAAAAACTTCCGTACATCAAAAGAGACAATCAACAAAGTGAAACTGCAACCTACAGAATGTGAGAAAACACTCACAAATCACACATCTGATAAAAATATATAAAGAATTTCTAAAACTCAGCAACAAAAACCAAACACCCAATTAAAAAAATGGGCAAAGGACTAGAATACCATTTCTCTAAGGAAAATATACAAATGGCCCATAAGCACATGAAAAGATGCTCAACATCACTAATCATTAGGGAAATACACCTCAAAACCACAATAAAATATTACCTCATACCAACTAGAATGGCAACTATCAAAAAAACAGAAAAGAACAAGCATAGGTGAGGGTGTGGAGAATGTGGAACCCTTGTACACTGTTGGTGGGAATACAAAAATGGTGTAGTCGCTGTTGAAAACAGTATGGTGGTTTCTCAAAACATTAAAAACAGAATTACCATTTATATGACCCAGCAACTCCACTTCTGGGTATATACACAAAAGAACTGAAAGCAGGGATGAGAACAGATATTTGTACACCCATGTTCATTGCAGCATTATTTGCAATAGTGAAAAGGTGCCCATCAACAAATGAATGGCTAAAGAAAATGTGGTATATACATATAATAGAATATTATTCAGTCTTAAAAAGGAAGGAAACTTTGACACATGCAACAGCATGGATGAATCTTGAGGTCATTATGCTAAGTGAAATAAGCCAGTCACAAAAGGACAAATACTGCATAATTCCACTTATAAGGGGTCCCCGGAGTACACCCATGTTCCTAGAAGCATATATTCACAATAGCTAAAACATGGAAGCAATCCAAGTGTCCATCAACAAACGAACGGATAAGCAAAATGTAGTGTATATATACAATGGAATATTATTCAGCTGTAAAAAGGGAGGAAATTCTGACACCTGACAACATGGATGAACCTTGAGGATATTATGCTAAGTGAAATAAGCCAGTCACAAAAAGACAAATACAGTATGATTCCACTTATATGAGGTACTGAGAGTAGTCAAATTCATAGAGACAGAAAGGAGAATGGTGGCTGCCAGGGGCTGAGGGGAGGTGAGAATGGGGAATTAGTGTTTAATGGGTACAGAGTTTCAGTTTATAAGACAAAACAAGTTACAGATGGATGGTGGTGATGGTTGTGAATATATTAAATGCCACTGAACTGTACTCGAAAAATGACTCAGATGGTAAATTTTATCTTGAGTATTTTACCACAATTAAAAAAAATTCTGGAGACGGCCTAGTGGCGAAGCGGTTAAGTTCACATTCTGCTTTGGTGGCCCGGGGTTCGCTGGTTCGGATCCTGGGTGCAGACATGGCACCGCTTGGCAAGCCATACTGTGGCAGGCATCCCACATATAAAGTAGAGGAAGATGGGCATGGATGTTAGCTCAGGGCCAGTCTTCTTCAGCAAAAAGAGGAGGACTGGCAGCAGATATTAGCTCAGGGCTAATGTTCCTCAAAAAAAAAAAACCCCAAAAAACAAAAAAACCAACGCTTAAAATAAAAAAATTCTCTCTCCACAAGAGCAAAGAGAAAAAGAACAACTTTACAGAAGAAACGCAGCAGATACCAACTTAACTAAATGATCAAAGTTAACATCACCATTAATGGAACAAATACATATTACATGCCTCCTGATATGATGTACTGACAAGGAAAGAACATTTTTGTAACATTCCTGCCAAAAATGCTTAATCAGAATCTAATCAAGAGGAAGCACCAGACAAACCTAGACTGAGGGACATTCTACAAAATAACTTCCCTGTAATCTTCAACCATGTTCATGTCATAAAAGAAAAAAAAAAATGGCTTGAGAATTGTTCCAGAACAAATAAGACTAAAAAGACATGATATCTAACTATAATAACAAACCAGGACTGAATTCTGTACTAATAGGAAAAAAATGCTAAAGGACATCACTGGAACAAATGACAAAATGGAATATGGGTTGTTGATTAGACAAAAGTATCATATCAATGTAAAATATAGTAAAGTTGATAACTGTATTATGGTTTTTGCACTTCTTAGAAAACACACATTAAAGGGCATTATGTATGCAATCTGCTCTTGAATGGTTCAGGAAAAAATAAGTACGTGTATCTCTATATACAGCTGTATCTATAAATATAAAGAGAGATCAAGAGAATGAATGATAAAATGTGGCAAACATTAAGAACACACACTGGTGAATCCAGATGATGGGTATACGTGAGTCCTTTGCACAATTCTTACAACTTTTCTGTACGTCAGGAATTATTTCAAAATAAAAAGTTTAAAAAGATAAACAATGCACACTTACATAAATATGAACTGTAATAAAATTAAATGGTAATAAATTCATTTAAAAGGAGACATTGCAAACATACAGCTTTCCAATAAAGGAATGCATATCTTACCCCAGTAGTTGCCACAGGAAGTGGATTGGCTGTGTAAAGGCTTCTTTTTCCATCATAAACTGGTCTTCGGTCCCCAAATATAGTTACTTTAAAATGCTGAACCATTGAGTCAACTACCTCCCTGAAAAAGGGAAAAAGTACATTCACATAATCCTACGCAAGATGAAATACAAACATTTTAACTAAAGAAATTTCTTATATTATTTAAAGCTGTCAAAATTCTAAAAGACAATCACACAAGATAAAGATTTTGCTTTCAGGACCATGGCTTAGGATACCAGAAAGTTTGATTTCTGGCAAGAGATGATATTAATTTCACAAAACACAGAGAAGAATGAATCCAGTGAATTACTTAATCATTCTGGACCAAGTTGACCTGCAAAATATTATCCTTAGAAACTGATCCCAAATCCCTTTCACCATCTCTAAGCACTGCCTGACACATTCACCTCTCTTTCTCAAAGAGTTTGATGCTCTTTCCTCTATGCTCAAATAGTACCTATTACATCTATTAGAATACTTACTCTGTTTTTTCTAATTATTATATACTTAACTTCTACTAGATTCTGAGGTTCTTGAGTGCAATAAACACACTTATACCTTATACTCTACCATCCTTCTACCTCCTTACCCCATCTTTACAATAATATCAAGCCAGTAAGGATATTTTGAAATGTCCATTTTTACCCAGCAAACATTTTTATCCTGTATACTTACATGGAAACATATTCAATACTTATATGTTTTTTAAAAATTACAGTCTATAGAGAAAATAATACCAAATATCCAAAGGTCAATATTTATTTTTGTACATACATTATTTCTAAAAGCAGAGGAAAGATATTATGATGAGAGTATACTCACATAATGCTGGCATAATTTACAAAACATTTAAAAGAATGAAAAAAAAATTCTTGCCCAGTCAAGTGGGTAAATGGGAGGGAATGGAGATAAAAAAAATATTTTCTGGAACAAAATAATTAAGCTGACTTGATACCCAGAGGAATTTTCTACATGCTCAAAGTTTCTATTTTTCCTCCTCTTTAATTTTATTTTGCCGAAACTATTTAAATCAAGATCAAGTCTTTCCTAGAGTAAATTTTACAACGAAGTTTTGATCAGCTTTTGGGTACCAAACAAATTTCAAAGATTTTCTGCCATTTTAAGTTTTCTTTTGTGACAATTATCAATTCCAGTTTCCTAGGTGAAATTTTACAGACCTAATTTGTCAGGACGTTTTGAATATTTTGTCACTTTTTAGTCAATAGTAAATTGGTGTAATTTTAAGCTTACTAATCCTGACAACTCAATCAAAACCACTCTTAAGGGTCAAAATGGTAGAGGAGATTGAAATAGTAGGGCTGAAACGTCTTAGGGATAAAAAATGTTCTGCTTTGATGGCTAGCACACAGTATATTCTTAAGCAATGTTCGAACAGTGGATAATCTACCTCAATGAACTGCTAGAACCTCCAGTGGAACATATCTAAAGCTGAATTCAACATATCTCCCCCAAGTCAAATCTGGTTATCCTCCTGTTTACTACTCCTATTTAATTATCGGTGTCACCATCTTCCCATTTACCCAGATTCAAAACCTGCCTCATGTCTTCATTCAAGTAGTTGTTGACTCCTCCACCTCTCTGCAGTACTTCTTACATCAGTCCTTTACTTTCCATTCCCAATTACTACCACCTTAAATTAAAACTTCATGTCCTAGTACCTGGGTACTATTTTAAGCTTCTCGTCCTTTATGCCTTTAATTTTTTCTTCTCCAACCCGACTTACACACCACTGCCAAATGAGTCCCCAGCCCTCACTTTTATTCCCAGGTACAAAAGGTTAAGTTAATCAAATTCCTCAGTTCACGGCGCATTATCTTCATTCATCTGTATAAGACCCGTCTTCTAACTAATTGATTTCTTTCCTTGCATGTTCATTTCCTATCCCCATTTCCCTTACCAGTAAGTTATTTCTTCTAATGTGTTTGATGAGCATCCTTTTGTTTGTATACATTCCTACCTTTACCCTCTGTACTAGGTTTTTCAAATCTATTCACATTGTGGTGGGACACTTAGTTCATTGTTCCTGATGCAAAGTACTCTACATGTTGCCTATCCACTCCCCAGCAATATAGGCTCAGAGTATTTTTAACTGTCAGCCACCCAAAACAATGCTGCCATGCAATAGCTGCTTCTATGTCCCCTTACGAACTTGTGTGAGAATTAACTTCCGGTTATACATCCAGGAATAGAACTGTTAAGTCCTAGTGAATTTTACCAACTAAATGATGAAGAACTGCGAAATTGCTCTCCAGAATGGCTGCACTAATCTACACTCCTGGAGGTTCCTACTTCCGTACATCCCAAACAAGATTTGGCATTATCTAGCTTTGCTTTCTAATTTTTGCTAGCCTAGTGGGTAAAACTAAAAGCTTGTTTTAATTTAGATTTCTCTTATTACTAATGAATTTGAGCATCCTTTCATGTGTCTGTGTTTCTTCTTTCATGAATTCCCTGTTTCTCTTGCTCATTTTTCTATTGGGGTCCCAGTCTTGTTGAATTGAAGGAGTTTCTTGATATTCTAGATATTAATTCATTAACAGGTTTAGTTATTGCAAATATCTTCCCATAAAATGTTATCTGCCTGTAAACAATGTCCATGTATTTGTTGAACTGAAATCTTTAATGTTGTATCATCAAATCAATCATTTTTTACCTAACGGTTTCATGCTTTTGAGGTTTTAAGAAATACTTTCCTAATACTAAGTCACAAAGATGTATTATGTTTTATTAACTTAATAATTTTGTCTATATCATTTTATTTGTTATTTACATATTTATTATTAATTATTTTAATCTATATTTATTTTATATCTTATTTTGGTCATTGATCCCTGAGGTTCTTCGTTATAAACAGTGCTCTGTAAGGACTCAATTTTACTTTTTTCCATATAGTGAGTCAGTTTTCCCACACCATCTACTAAACAGTCTATACTTAACTAATAAATTTATAATGCCATCTTTATCTTATTAAGTTCTCACATACACATGGATCTGGCTCTGAGTTCTCTATACCGTCCACTCAGTGGTCTATTTGTTTGTTCTTAGACCAGTATCATGTTTTAATGATTACTAGAGTGTTTTATTAAGTTATAATGTGGGGCAGGGCAAGATCCTTTTCTTTTTCTAAGCTGACTTGGACATTTGTGGAAATTTTTATTCAGAATAAACTTCTAAAGTCCTTCCCCCTCCAAAACAAACCTATCAATACCGTAAGCAAAAGAAACAATATCTAGTGCCCTACATATCACATATAGTAACTAATCAAAAAACATCCATTGGTTAAGAAACTCTCAAATAATACATACTTGGGAGACATGGCTAGTACGCTAAAAACAAATCACTGTGTTAAAAGCTGACAAACTACATAAATGAACTCAAGGAAGAGAAAACATAAAAAGGGCAATTGTAAAATCTAAATGATTATGTTTGAAAAGTTCAACTGCAATAAAAACAAATTAGAGAATCTGAACTGACCCACTGCTCTTGTGGAAAGGGGCTTTAAGGTGACTATAAGTCCAGAATGAGCTAAAAGTGTGATACAGCTTCCTCAAAATTAAAGAACTCAGGTTGCATATATTTAAGTACCCAATATAAGGGAGGCAACCATTATCATATATTACTACACAGGTCATTTCACATTCTGAAGTACTCTTTCAACCTGGAAAAATTTAAGACCCTAAAAAATGAAACACAACCAGTAGAAGGTAATCCTGATGGAAACTCATATAATATGTGTAAAAATAAATCAAAGTAAGGACTTTTAGTTTGGAATAGGAAAGACTCAAAGGAAATTATAGAAGTCTTTGCCTATTTTGATGGACTGTCATGTGAAAAACTGAGTAGAAAATCTGTCTCGTATGGGAGGATAGAACTAGGACAAATAGTTGGAAAAATATAAGGAGCTAGATTTTGGAAGAAAAATTTCCAACATTTTATAACCACAAGAGTTATTCACAAGTGGATAACGCTATCTTGTAAAGTACGTAAGTTCATCCTTGCTAGAACTGTTCAAAGAACAGTTATGTCAGGGAAGATACCAACCAGAAAATTGAAATGAATAAACTCTGTAATCCCTTCTATCAGTAAAATTTAATTAAGAGAATACCAAATAATGAAACGCTGCAGATTTTATCACAGCATCAGATATAAAAACTCCTTTATGAATAATTACATTAAACATTGATTTGAACTTAAGGCTTCAGAGCCTTAACAGGATGGGGTTAGAATTTTATAGACACTGGACAATTTTAACATTAAACTATCTAATTTTTTGTAGATTGGCCCTGAGTTCACAACTGTTGCCAATCTTCCTCTTTTTTTCCCTTTCTCCCCACTGTGCCACTACATAGCTGCATACTTCTAGTTGTAGGTCACCTACTTCTTCTATGTGGGATGCCGCCACAGCATGGCTTGATGAGCAGTGCCAGGTCCATGCCCAGGATCTGAACCTGTGAACTCCGGGCAGCGGAAGCAGAGCACAACTTACCACTTGGTCACTGGGCCGGCCCCCTGAAACTACTTTTAAGTTCAGAACTGTTAAAACCTATGCTTCAAAGGGAATCAGTTTTTATGAGGACCATCATTTATTATCATCTCTCTTCACTTTAACCTCTCGCTAATATGATGTAATTAATTGATGAATTTTAATGAGACTTTAGTATGCAAGTTAACAAAATGACAAATCCAGCAACTGTAAATTTTCATTTCTTATCTCAAAAGATACTGTGGCAAAGAGCCGTTTATTAGAATGTTCATCAGGCAGGCATGTGGAAATAGAGAAAAAACTCTCTAAAATAGTACTTTATGTAGTCAGCTATAGCAGCAAAGGTGCTCATTGTATTATGAAGAAAGTTTGAATTGGGAAACTGCCAATTTGAGAAACCTTTAAAATATGCTGAAACATAAGTATTGGAGAAGAAATAAGTAGACGTAAGTTTTTAGTCCTACTCTGACACTAAGTAGTTAATGAAAGTTACTTGGCCCCTCTGACTTTAGTTCCTTCATCAATAAAAGTGGGATAACAGTCTCAGGGCTGTTACAGGGATCAAATGGGATATT